AGGGTATATTGTGTTAACTCTCCCTCAAATCCCACCATATTGCCCTATCATTTCCAAGCAATGTTTGTAAAGTTACCTGAATAATACACTAGTGACATATTTTAATAGTCATTAAATAAAAATCCCCTACAACCTTGATCTGTATCAGGAGTTATGTACAACATGCGTTAGCAGCTACTGTTGTAAAGATTTAAGGTATATACAGAAATGACTGACCTAAGAGAGAAAGTCTTACAGCCACTAAAAACAGATCAGGAAGAGATTCAAAGAGGGAGAAACAGCTCCCAGGAGCAAAGCACATACTTAATATCATACACATGCTTGTGCTGAACAAACACGACAAAGGGCTTTGGCAAACTGTGCCTTCATAAACTGCTGCTGAAAGACATTATCAACACTTCCTCACCCGCCTCATCTTATCCTATAAAACATCTGCTTCTTTAAAAAGAAGTTACATACCAACTCTTCAACTAAAAATTGAAAATCATGAGTTTCCTTTCAGGAGGGGGAAGGATGGGAACAAAACATGCCTTCTGTGATTTTACTGAAAACCCATTGCTAATTAAAACCATATATTTAGTATGGGTAGAGAGCACAAAATGCAGGTAGCAAATACGGATTTCTTAAACAAAACCATGCCCCTCTGTGAATTCAGATTAGCAATGCTGTTATTGGCTGACTTTTGAAATATCTGGGACAGCAAGGAAGACCGTCTGACATAAGCCCAGTTGGGCCTGATGAAAGAGAGGCCATGACATGCTTCTGTTATTGACACAAAGACAAAGGAAATGTGTCAGGTTCAGCTTTGAATTAAATCCTAAACATAAATTTTTAGATTAGATTTTGCCCAGTTATTCAGTCATCTTAGAACATTATGCTGCCCTGACTGGTGTAGCACAGTGGGTTGGGTGTTGTCCAGCAAAGTGAAAGGTCACTGGTTTGAATCCCAGTCACGGCACATGCCTGGGTTACAGGCCGGGTCCCCAGTTGGGGCGCATGCAAGAGGCAACTGATCGATGTTTCTTTCATATATCAATGTTTCTCTCCCTCTCTTTCTCCCTCCTTTCATCTGTCTCTAAAAATAAATAAATAAATATCTTAAAAAAGAAAGAACAATATTACTTCATGCTCTCAGCAATTGTGGACGTTGGTCCTGCTGAAAAATCCTCATAGGTTTCGAGAAATTTGACAATTTCTGTTCTGGTGATTGCCATGAGAGCAAATCGCAGGAGAGGGCTCTAGCCTGGACTGAAAAAGAACCTGACTTCCTGCTAAGCCCTCCCTCCGTCCGCTGTGCAGTCAGAGGGGATGCCTCACCACCTTCCTCCATCAGCAACAACATGAGAAGCCAGCTCCCAGCATGGTTCTCCTTTTCCAAGAGTTATTTTTCTGTCAACGGTAATACAGTCAGGGTTGTACAGCTGTAAGGCTAACAGCCACTCTCTTCCAAAGAGACGGAGACAAGGCACTTCCCTGTATCTTGTCATCACAAACTTTTTTTAAAGACTTTGAAGCCTCTTTCTTTTCTTTGAACTACTACTGCAGTCTACTGAGGTCTCTCTGATAGCACTGATCCCTTTCTCCTTTGCACAGTAGTCATTTGTGTGGACGCTTTGAATTCCTAAGGATTTGAACATGATTTTTCTTATTATGCCATTCTCTTTAGCCCTAGCAGAGTGCCTGTGTGCAGGGGAAACTCAATAAATATTTGATGACTGTTATATTTAAACAAAAGCAACAAACATGAATATTCTACAATTAGAATGGAAGCTCCAAGAAGGCAGGGGTTTTTGCCTATTTTGTTTAACGATGTGAGTCCCACGCATCTAGTAAATTCCTGGAACATAGCTGATGCTCAATGAATATTTGTCAAATGAATGGATAAGTGTTATGATTTTCCAAAGAGCTTGAGCAGTACTTATTTTATTAGTAAATAAACAAAAGGGAATATTTTTATATGTGCAAAGGAAGAACGACTAAATTGGTAATTTCTCCTTTCTCTGGATGAGAAGCTGGCAAACTTTTTCTAGAGGGCCAAAGAGTAAAAACATTAGTCTTTTTGAACCATAAGGTTTCTGTTGCAACCACTCAAGCCTACTTTTGAGTGTGAAAACAGCCATAGACAATATGTGAAATGAATGTGGTTATGTTTCAATAAAACTTTATTTAGAAAAGCAGATGGCAGGCAATATTTGGCCCGTGGGTGGTTGTTCGCTGACTCCTGCTCTAATCTATAAGGATGAAGACAAATTGATCAATATTCCCTCCTACAAAACAATACCTTCTGCATCTTTACACGCTCCACATGCCTGTCTCTAACAGGTGGTACAGTACTTTGCAATATGGTAGCTGCATAGTATATGTTTGTTGAATTGAACTACATCCTCCAGTAACTGATTTCCTAGAACCAGTTTTCAGTAGAACCAATAAAGTCAGTCCCTGCAACGTCCCTTTTCTTTGAACTCTGTCCTCGCAAAACATGTGGAAAGTTAATAGCTGTTGAAACAGTGTCTTATGAAAGTGGGGCATGTTCTCGCTTGACAGAAAGCGTCCCAGCACCTCTCATTTGAAGCATCTTCTTCAGGATGTCAGTGATTAACCAGAGGTAGCTATTCTGATTATCCATGAAGCCCAGAAATGATTAACAACTTTCTCACTGCCCATATGTGCTCATGCTTCTTTTGAAGCTGCCTCTCCTCAGTCTTTTTAAATAAATTAGTTTCATAAAAAGCATCTAAGTAAATGACCATTGGTATCTACAACTGGCAAAAATGTTCTCCCACATTTCCATCTCTAATGACTACAAAAAAATGTGATAGATGAGTAAGTTTTGTTAGATTACTGCACTATGTCAGGCCAGACATGTGTTACATATGGTGAAAGTCTACATATTCGCCACTGAAAAGAATCAACGTTTTACAATGTTTAAGTAGTACTAATGTGGAACAATGCCATCATATTAACGTGGCCATTTCCTACACTTGCACCACCAGTCTGCAAAACATATTTCTCATTTTGTTAAGTGTTGGCCTCACTTACGAACCAGGCTGGATTTCCTCTTCAGCTGCAAATTTAATTTAAGAGAACTCCAATAAGATTACTTGCTGAACATTTTAAACATTCATATGCTGTTATGCAAATTGCACTGATTCATATCCATCTGGGTGCCATTAGATAGCACTGATTTCACCAGATAGCAAGAAATAATTTTTAAATGCAGATAAAACATGTTAAAGAAGAAATAATTTTTTAAACATCCTATTTGCATCTAGACCTCTGCTGAACTAAGGAGAATGTGTTGTTGTGTTTATAAATTTGTGGAAACAACTGACTTTTACATATTAAAAACACAGCTCTATACTTGGTGACTTCTAGAAAAAGTAAGGTATATGAAAGTCCAAATTTATATTATAATAAACTACTAGTCAAGAGCATAGACTATTGAAGCTAGTAATCAGGTTTTAATTCTGATTCAACCATTGAATTGCTCTAAAACCTTGCTTTCTTCAATGGTAAAAGGAAAAAAAAATGACGCCTACCCAACAGAGTTGCAAGAAAGATTAAATGAGATAATGCATAAAAAGCATGCAACACCTCCAAAAAGAGCAATACCATGTGATTGGCTCAATAACGAGTAATTATTATTAGCTATTGGTGTCTAGACCTTGTATTTCTGTTGAAGGTCGGCAGTACCCCTCTAAAGAAATGGTGGAGAGATGCTTGAGTATATGGGAGCCTAATGGGAAAGCAGAAAAATGATTTAGCAAACTTAAAATTACTATATGAAATAACAAGGGCCCTATTACAGTCCATAATACTAATGTGTAAAAATAAAGGTAAAAAAGAAAGTCACAGGATTCCCTCTTCACAATAAGGGTGTCAATAATATGGCATAATAATGCCAAGTACTGGGGGAACTGAGGCAATGGAGTGCTCATTTTAAGTATGCTAGGGAGGAATATAGAGAGGAACACTTTCAATATCCATTGAGTGTTCTATCATATTACATTCAGAGGAGGCAGAAGCTTCTTAGAAATAGTTAGATTTGGCTGTAATAAGTAAATATATACAGTGTAATGAGTATTCATAAATACTTAAGTTTGTAAAAAAAGCCTGAAGAGCCTTTAGCTTTTTTTTCCCCCCCTAAATTGGCTTGGAGTGTACATTCAAATATAAGTGGATTCCCTCTAGGTCAGTGTTCTCAGTGGGCGTCAGTTTTGCCTTCAAAGGGCCATTGGCAGAAGATGGAGACAGTTTTGGATGCTGCGACTGGGATGGGGGATGCCACTGGCACCCAGTCAGTGGACTCTGGGGCTGCTGCTAAATATTCCACAATGCACGGGACAGCCGCAGCGACAAGGAGTTATCTGACTCCTTTCTCAAGGCTGAGAGACCCTGCTGTAGCTAGTAACTGTTGAGAGTCAAATGGGTCTAGAATTACCCACAGCCCAGTGGACCTTGAGGGGAATCTAGGGAATGGTGGACTTTTTGTCAACACGGTCAAATCTTTCCAGTGTCCTATGCCGGTTCCACCCTAATGAACCAGCAGCTAAAGTAATAGTATGGAGTCTGTATCCTCAGGAAAAGAACAACAGGTGACTGTAAATGCCAAGATTATAGTTTACAAAGTACCATACTTACTTTATGTACTAGGGACTTCAGCACTGAGAGTAGCTGAACTTACGCATAAAGGAGAGCAACCATTCACATTTAGCCTTTAACCAACCGAGAGACTAAGGATTTCTTAAGCAACATAAATTCTCATGGGCAAACAACATATTGGGCAACAGTAGCATAAAAGTAAAGATTAATTCCCACATAAGAATTAAAAGCACTATCTTTTGGTTCTCTACTCCCACAAAATGGAAAATATGTTCCATGCATCAAATAAAATCTTTCCTTCTACAAGGTCTCTTCCATAGACCCTGCAGGAGCTGCTGAAAGGCTGCAGCCATAAACACAAACGGCTCAAAGACTGAAATGTACATAAAGGACATTACTTTGAAGCTTCTGACTCTGTACTTGGGGTCATCGCGGCACTGCTGAAGAGACTCTCTGTGAACTCTGTATTTGGAGTATCTCCCATCGATTCTGTCGGATAAACTGTGGGAATCCTGGAAAAACAACAAAGTGTCTAAACTGCTACATGAAAGAAAGATCCGTACTTGAAATTAGAATAAGAAAGTATTGATATGTAAAAAATAAATAATTATAGAAGTTTAGACTCATACTTAGGGGAGTCATATGTCCCTACGGATAAAAAACAAATGGTCACTTTGGATGATACCATAAAAATAAAACGGTCCCCTACTGATTATTTACATTCTTTTTGCAGCTATTCCCTTGCCAATCTGAAATGATTGGCACCCTTTAGTTAAATGGAAAAAGTTTCCGGGAAGTTGTCTGAAGATGGTCATTAATGACATCATGACACTTTTGGATGTTTGTACTGTCACTTGCACTTGGCATAAAAACAAAATGTTACCTTTAAAAGTAGAGCCCTTTTTCTTCACTAATTCTTAAAAAACATTTTACTTCTTAACTATTACAGCACATAGATTTTTAAACTTAAGGATGTCTCATCTGACCTTAAAAGCATCAAATATTCAGGCAATTAAGAAATTTAAAACGCAAATTCCCAGGGCTGATGGGTCTCCCCATCTCCTCCCTCCCTCCGTCCCTCCATCCCTCCGTCCCTTCCTTCCTTCCTTTTGGGAGAACAGGATAAAAAACACAACAGTCACTATAGCCATTTATTTACACAGTAACATTATGAATTAGAGAGAAATTAGAAAATTAGAATGAGGGCAACTGATTTTTATGTGTAAGAAAAATCATCCATGGGATTTAGTTCCCCAAATAGCCCCAAACTAGAAGTATTAGAATTCCAAAGTTCTCATTTTTATGTAAAAAAGTTATAGTGCCTGGGAATCTCAGAATGTGTTGTCCAAGGCTAGGCAATTTGGGGTGGATGTTTAAACATGGGATTGTAGAGCCAAACAATTTCTTTCAAAATGAGATTAAAAAAATGAGAGAGAGTATGACACGTTTAAAGAACAATAAAGTCAAGACTATCTAAGTATGATGAAGTTCATATTCACTCTTAGAGTCAGAGACTATAGTATTATATAATTGCTAGTGACCCCAGCATGAATAGGAACAGATAATATCATTCAAGCTCCTCATTTTTTGGATGAAAAAAATATCCCCTGAGATCTTAAGTGATTTTGTCTCATGCATGAGTGCAGACTAGAACCTAGGTCTTTGGACTCTTGTTCACAGCACACTGATTTTTAAAAAGTTTTAGAAGTTTAAAAATTACAATCTACAATAATCTACATCTAATGACCTGAAGGCTTTACGTATTTTTATTTAAGGCTATGTCTAGTTCTCACTAAATTGATTAAGTGAGCTCTCTTGAATCACAGATGGCTTTACAGTACATAGAGAAGGGGTTTCAAGCTAGAGGCAGTAGGCAAAGCGGAGGAGCTTGTTGTTAATACAGAGAATTAGATCCCAGTTCTCTGAGCTGTAAGATGGCGGGCAGGGGGAGCCTGAAGATTTCAAAAAATGTAATGTGAAGTGCTTAGCCACTGCCTGCCACATAGCAGTGCATAATACTTGCTAACAAACTCCTTTCCGTTTTAAAGTGAAAGGTTTCGATTTTAATGACCAATATTGGAAAGTACAATTCTAAACTATGAAAAAATATTCCCCCCCCAAATTTCACTATATAGGCATCTTCAGGTGTGAGTATGTGTATATATAAGCTGGATTTGTATATATTCATTAGCCTATATGATAAAAATAAACTAAAATCCTTTGGTAATAGTAGAGGGCAGAACTTTTAAATTATATTTATGACTATTCTGAAGACAGGCATCTGTTTCTCAGTGACAAATGCCATGTGTTTCCAATGCCTTTTCTTGTCTGCCCTTCCTTCATGTAGAGGACTTTTGTTAGCTACAAAGAAAAAGGTGGGAAGGATATGGGTGTAACCTATTGCCCGCTATCCACATTGGGTAATAAGGGCGGGGAAGAAAATCATGTCTTTTCGGACACTGGATTCAAAATACTTGGATGGGGTTTTAGACTGTACATATATAATCAAATCACAAAAAAGAATGAAAACTTTAAGCTCTTGTTTTTGTTGTCTTTGTGACAGTCTAGGTTTCTAGATGTATCAACTCAACTCTGGATGTCACCCAAAAATGTTTAGTAAATGAAATATCAAAATTTGCATTGTGAAAGGTAAGACAGTACAGATGTTGAGTAGCTCACCATACCAGTGCCTGAAATACAGCGACATGGCATAATCGCACTGTGATTCCTACTCATTATATTCTCAAATAATATTCTAGATTTAAACAGAATAAATATAACAAGTTCTATTTTAAAGGCAGTGTGAAATAAGAGGCTAAAGCTTTTCAAGAGAGTGTTCACCATTGTTATCTTCAGCCATACAGGGCGAAGCAATTATAACTCTCTCACACTGTCCACTGCACTGCATCCCTAAGCAGATATGTGAACATACTCTCGGCCCAGACCATGTCAGGTAGAACTGGGTGGCAGGGTTATTTGCTTTGCATCTCTTTCTCTCTGTGAGGAACTTTAAAAAATTATAGTAGGTAAACACGCACATGTAATTAATTGGGTTTCTAATGAAATGCTTTGTGGTTTGAGTTCTATCAATCAATGGCATGGGATATACTCTAAAACTCTATATATGGATTTCAATTCATATGTCATAGTATAGAGATAACCTGTGCACCATCATCTCTAGAGCAAACAGTACTCTGGATATTTGTAATTAAAAAAAGATAATTCAGAAATTGAAATTGTTTATCAACAAAGCTCATCGACACATCATGCAGCCTCTTTTAATTCTTAGGTATTTGTAAATCATAGTTAAAGCTTTCAAGGGCCAAATGAGCTTCTAGTGGTAGAGTAAAAAGCCTCTGTTTTCCTATATTGTGCTAATTCATAAGTTCCATTATTTTTCCATCCTGACATCATCAATGTCAAAAAACTCTGACAAAATGGAAGGTTAAAAGTCCCCAATGTTTTTTGGTCTTTGCTCCCTCCCTAGTTTTCTTTCACATCAGGAAGATGTCAAGTGTTCTCACTCAGATAAAAATACTGAAAGAGACAAGCCAACTCTTTCTCACTTGAAAGCCTTTGAAATCATCTAGTAGGCTCAGTTTCTCAGGCACTGACTCCAGATGGTCCAAGGCCACTCGGGTACTCTGGAAAGAAAACATAAGGTAACCAAACATTATAAAAATTTTATTAATACTCTCAGAACCCAACTACTAAAATTCAGTTGTACCACCGGTATAAGCAGTTCAAGCTGTAGACTTAGAGAATCAAATAAGAACGCATATAATATTTCTAGGGTAAATATATCTTTTTAAATCAAAAGAATGATTTCCCTTTACAAAGTATATGAGATTCATTTGCCAGACTGACTCAGAAATAAAAACTCTTCCTGGACAATTGCTTTCAGCTGATATTCTATGAAACTTTCTATAGAGTATTTCATATTAATATTAATTTGCAAACCTGCTTCAGTGAATATCAGAAATAAATCACAAGGTAATACCAAGAAATAGATGAATTTGCAATTACTTATCTATGAAGCACATTAGAGATCCTCACACATTGCCATTGTAATAAAGAAAAGAGTTCTCAGCGATTACTTTAGTTAAAAAGGAGAAGGGAGCAGTTCTTAAGACTTGGGAGAAATATCTGAAATTAAATATTTGTGACAAGAATACTAGATACTGTTAATTATATAAATCAATTATTCACACAGTCTTTTGATTAGCTGGTCACTGATTTACACCCACCAGTATAAACACTACAAGGAAATGATCGTCTAAAGGTTATTTCAAAGCCAATGTGAACTAGGAGCTTAAATGGTAGACTACCCTGAGACTGGAGATTGTACCACATGCATCTCGGTACCAGTGCTGTCAGAGGGCCAGCACGTGACGGGCAGGCAATAGACATTAGCTTTTCAACTTGAAGTGAATTATAACTATTCAATGAAATAAATGACAAACCCCATGGCTGGTGCATGAGAAGGAAGTGAAGAGTCTTACGAGAACCTGGACATGACTTCGAGCACTGCTGTCGAGAAGTTTGTCACCACCCAAAATTCCATGTGCTCTCTCCCACATCCCCCACGTGAACGGCTCTGAACACAATGGCACTGTGATTATGAATGACGTGTCACTTCTGAGATGAGACACTTAAGTAAGTGTACCAGGCTCTTCCATCCTAGTCTTTACCATGAGGACCTCGGAGGCCACATGCTCTAGATGGCATGACTGCAAGACAGACGTGGGCCATTGACCATGTTGGACTTCATGTGAGGGAGATATCAACCTCTATTGTATTAAGCCATGAGATCTCAGGGGTTGTTAAGACACCAGTGCAGAAGCACAGCATTAATTATTGCAAATAATGCCTGAGAATTACATAATTCAAGGTGGGCTAATCAGATGGTCATTAGCTTTTTTGGGGGGGGGGTTGGGTGTAGGCTCCAAATTATGAGTATATGAAAGTTTTTTTTTCCTTAGGGGAAGTTCAGTTTTTCTGGATCTAGAGGACGTTAGGAACAGGTGTTCTCATCATTTGCTATGCCCACTTTCATTTAATCTTCCAATCTTAAGTGTTCTATTTCACTTCAATGCTGTTCTCTGCCTTCGTCTCCAATGCGAAGTTTCTCCAGCGAATATCCGTATGCCTCTCGGGGTTGGTGTGGGGGCCAGGATGGAGACAGAGCTGAGGGTCAAACTCCTCCCTGCAGATGCTTTCCATGTGCTCGCTTCCGCCCTCTCCTTCTGCAGTAATTAGTTCCTCTGGTTCAAAAGCCTTTGGGAAATTCTGCATGAATGATGCTCGCTGGCCATTGCTGTCCCCTTGACAGGCACTTGGTTTTCACCTTCTCTGTTCAGAGTCATTTTATCATTTTTCTTTCAATGTTCTTCAGCTTCAAGTTATAGATGTCTTCTAGTTGTCACCTTGTAAATCAGTGTTCCTATTTCTTCATATTCTTATTTTGCTAATGTTAATCTTTGAAAGAAGAGCAGAAACACCCTTAGTTCACCATTTTGAAATTGGAAGTCATATGCGCTGTTTCTTCAAGTTCATAGAATCGTCCTTTTCTAGTTCCATTTAAAGCATTTAGTATTTTGCTCCTTCTGCTTATCATTTATATCAGTGAGTTTCAACCTTTTTCATCTCCTGGCACACATAAACTAATTATTAAAATTCTGCAGCACGCACAAAAATATATTTTTTGCCAATCTGACAAAAAATAGGTATAATTTTGATCCATTCACACTGGATAGCTATTGCTGTGTTGGCTGTTGTCATTTTTTTTTATTTGACAATCTACGGGAAAAGAGGGCAGTGCCCCCACATAAACAGGTATTGCATTTTTAAAAAATTCTTGTGCCTCACCAGTGTGCTTCTTGCAGTACACTGGCTGATTTATGTGCTTGTTATAATTTTTACCACACATGCTCACTTAAACTGCCATGCATTTTAAATGGCTTCATTTAATTTCTCCATGTGTAGGAAATATTCATCAAAATAGCAAGTTTCTTAATACAGGTGCAACACAGAGGTTTAGGAGAGCAAGTAGTTCATAAATGCTATATGCGTTTAAATAGTAAAATTAGAAATTTCCTCAAGAATTATATTGGCCCTTAAACAACAGAATACAAATCAATGCCATGGTGATTTTGAGGCAAAATTTTATGCTTTGAATAAAATTTTCATAAAACATAACTCCAACAGACTTGTAATTTTAAAACTTTCTCTTTTTTATGCCATATTTTTTTATATTCAGAAGTGACCCTCTGAATGTGGGTTAAATATGTTAAACTTGTTTTGTTATTTAAATAAGCAATAATCTCTTTCCCTACTGTAAAATCTAACATGTTACACATACAGTTTTGCTTAAAATTTTCAATCAACCTAGTGACTGCATGAGACATTTTTTTCTTGCATGTTTCACATAGTAGTTTATTCTATTTGGTGATGGATTTGGATGCATCACCAAATGGCTCCTTTTTTTTTTTTTTGAGTGAATCTTAAAAAACATGTTGGCTCCATCTTCTTAAATGCAGTTATTTTTCTACTCCTCACCCCCTCACTCATGTCTCTTCATTAACATCTTTATACTCTTATCATCCATTTTTAGTTGTGGCTTATTTTATTTCAATTTATGTGTTGTTTCTAAATATCTTCCTCAACATCACAAATACTTTCTGGTACACATGCCTTTCTCTTCATCCTTATATTCTAGTCGATCAATTGACATCAAATGCATATCTAGATATGATAGAAAGATCCACAAGACATAGATAGTATAGTTCCTGTTCTTTTAAGTTAATAGGGGGAGGAATATACATATGCAAAAGATGTAAGAATTATACAAAGAAAAAAAAGTCAATTGCATTTATTCTAAGGAAATTACATACACAGATGCTAAGATTTCTAAGCCATCTGTAACAATAAGAGGCAAAATAATGAAGGCAATGAGTCCAGGCCTTCAGGCATCTTAGGTCTCATAATTTCATGATTAAATGATATTTGGGGGGTACATTTATTTTCTGACTGTCCTCCTCTATGTTTGCAAGTTAAGTGTGCTTAAAATCACTACTTAGGCATATAAGTTTAAGAGTATGAATATTTATGCTCTAACCTTTTTTTAAAGCATGAGATCGGCTGTAGTTCTGTGGTTAAGAGTCCTGTCACATTACATGTCATTGCAAGTTGACTTTGTTTTTTTTTTTTGACTGGTTTATTTTACTTATTTTCTTATTTAACCTTTATTGCATTTTTTCCCATTACAATTTAGTCCTCTTATACCCTGCTCCCCGATAGCAATCACCACACTGTTGTCCGTGTCCATGAGTCCTTTTTTCCTTTTTGCTCAATCCCTCCACCCTTTAAATCTCCCCCGACCCTGCTAGCTGTAATCTGCTCTCCATCTATGAGTCTGTCCCCATTTTCCTTGTTGGTTTGGTTTGTTCACTGGATTCTACATATGAGTGGAATCATATGATGTCTGTCTTTCTCTGATGATGTTTGTCTGTCTCTGATGGGACATTTATACAATGGAATACTACTCGGCCATAAAAAAGAAGAAAATTCTATCCTGTGCGACAGTATGGATGTACCTGGAGAACATTCTGCTAAGTAAAGCAAGTTGACTTTTCCCCAAGAGCTAACAGGGCTAGAGAGACAAGAACCAGTAGCAGACGAATAGTCTAAATAAGAAACGTTAGAATTTAGAGATGCCATGAGAACAAAATACCTCATCTAGAGTTAGAGAAACTTTTTATATTTTAAATTGATTAATTATTTCTGTCTTACCTAGTCGAATGCTTTAAAGGACACAGACAATGCCCCACTGTTAAAATTAAGGGAACAACTTCTCAAGTTTATTTAATAAATGGCACCAGCAAGGGACAGCTGCTTAACCTGTCTTTAATTTTCTTAAATCAATTTTCTAGAAGAACTACAGGGTCAAAGACTGTTTCTCTTTTCAAAATGTTACAAGATCCTAAATTTCATATGAAATCTGAAAACAAAAGAAAAATCCACAATTAAGACTGTCTCATAAATGACTGATGGTGTGTATAAAGCCTGGTTTGTCTCAGAGCTTAAAGAGCTGGGCTCCCACTGGCCTAAGAGAGGTGGCAAAGCAAATAAGCAAGTGTTTCTAACCCTGGTAAGGAGCATAATGAAAACTAAGCGATAAAAATGTAATTCAATTGTGAGAAATTTCTTCATCCTCACTTCGCCCTGTGATGTATATACTACTGTTATCCCCATTACACCGGCGAGGCACTGAATAACCTCCTCACAGTCATGTGTTAGCAAAATGCTGACATGAATGCAAGCTCTCTGATGCAGATGTGGCAGTTTTCTTATTATATAAGAAAAATGTCTGTGGTAAATCACCATCTGCAAAGGATAGCAACCAGAAGGTATAATAGTAAGTGTTTTATGTAATTCTTAACCCCTCTTTAGGTCTTAACTCTTAGTAGCTAGAGCTTTGGAGATATGTCCTTGACGGACTTATTTCTGGGAGAAAAGTTTTCTGAATCCAGGAAGAATTTCAACTGGCCAGCGCTAACGGACCTGTCCTCCAGCCTACTCATTCAGGCATACACACCCGAAAAGGGGCCAGCATATTCTTTCTGTTGTTTAGAGGAGGTATGAG